GTTTGGTCAACAAGTCCCTGCCTAGAAGCGGAGCAGGACATTCAGGGATTACAAGGAAAGAGTGAGTCACTTGGCTTTTTTTATTTTTAAACTTCTTTTTGTTGTCCAGGGGTAAAGTTTACTACCAGTGGCTCCCATGACCAGTGTTCTCTTTGATCCTAGTTGTCCTAATGTTCAGTCAAGACCGAGTGTTCAGCCCCAGTATCCACTAAGAAATCAACGGGGTTCCCCTCCACAGAGAGAGTTACCCTGGGCTGGGGGAGGGGGACCGAGCCCCGACTCCCCTAATCTTCTTCAAGGGCCAGTACCTTAGGGCCCTTTTGTTTCTTTCGGGGGCATTCTCTGGCCCAATGTCCTTTTTCCTTACAGTATGCGCATTGGTCCTTTTCAAGTCGTGGTCTCTGTCCGCCCAAGGGTTTCCTTGCCTTGTTGCCCAGGTACCCTGACTGTCCTTTCTCTAACCTTTCTTCACCTACTACTGCGACCAAAATCCTAGTCAGATTCCTTTCTTGGCGACAATCACACCAGTTCTCCCTCTCTTCTGTCTCTCTTTTCTCTCTCTCCTGCTTTTTTTCCTCAGTCTCTCTCTTATGATACATTTTCTCTGCTTTCTTTACTAAATCCTGTAAAGTATAATCTTGGAGCCCCTCTAATCTTTGTAACTTCTTCTTGATATCAGGGGCCGACTGTCCTATAAAAGCCATAGCTACAGCCGCCCGCTGTCCCTCTGAGGAGGGATCAAATGGAGTATATCTCCTGTAAGCCTCCATTAAGCGCTCTAAAAAGACAGAGGGTGGCTCCACCGGACCTTGTAGGACCTCCCTTACCTTAGCCAATATGAGGTTAGGGAGATTGGTGGGGGTTCCATCTGGTCCCGGAACATTTTTTCTAGCTTCTAAGAGGATTCTCTCCCTCTCTTCCGTAGTAAAGAGGACCTGCAAAAGCTGCTGGCAGTCGTCCCAAGTGGGCTGATGAGAAAACATCAGGGACTCGAGGAGTCCCGTCAGGCCTGAGGGATTCTCTGAAAAAGAGGAGTGGTTAGTTTTCCAGTTATACATATCGGCTGATGAGAACGGCCAGTACTGTAGCGGGACCAGTTCTCCCGGAGCCGGGGCGGGTCCATAAGCTCGTAAAGGTAGGGCAGTAGCAGAGTCAAACCCCGCGCCTTCTCCCCCTGGGCTACGACCCCGGCGGCTTCGGGTTCCGGCCGCCGGTCCTGTTTCAGAGGCCGTCCGGGAGTCGGCGGGGGGCGACACCTGTGGGGGACGTGCGTGGGAAGCTGGTTGAGGATACGGGGGTGGAGGGTAGTCGAGGAGAAGGGAACCATCATCAATTTCAGGATAAATCTTCGTAGGGGCCGATGGAGCAGGTACCGGTTTATCTGGAGGGGGTACTTTCGGTTTGGCGGCCACGGCCACCGTCACCGTTTCTGCCCCTGTCGTCCAGGGTCTCACCCAGGGTGTCGGATTTTGGACCAGGTCCTCCCATACGATAATGTATGGAACCTGATCAGGGTGTCCCCCTGAGGCCTGAAAGATAATTCGCTTGACAGCGGAAATGAGAGACAGGTTAAAAGTTCCCTCCGGAGGCCATCCTACGCCAAAACTCGGCCACTCAGAGGAGCAGAAAGTCTGCCATGGCCCTTTTCTGACTTCAACAGAAAGATTATGAGCCCTCGTCTTAACGTCCGTCCAATGGTCCAGGGTCAGTGTTAGCGGGGTCGTCACGGTCTGTCCCATTCCTGGTTCTATCACACTTCACAAAAAGAACAATCACAAAGACAACAAAACAGAGAGACAAAATCGCCGACCTTGAGTCGACCAGAAATCCTGAAAAGAGTCAGACGGTCTACAGATTGTCAAGGAGGAAACTAATCCCCTGACTTTCCTCGTGGGGGTCCACCAGGCGTCCCTGGTCCTTCCCCTGTCCTCCTGGGACGTCTCCCAGGGCGAACAAACGGTGGACACCCGGATACGTCTATCCCCGTCCACTCTGCTCCCCCCTCTGGAGGAGCAGACTCGATTAGAGCGTTTGCAAAAACCAGAACTGCGATCGCACCAGATCTCTGAACAATCCACAAACACAGAATCACAACAGAACAACGAGGAATGAAAATCCTTACCTCCAAGTGGGTCTAGGACCCCTGGGTGGTCGCGCAAATCCCGGACGAGCCCCCAAATGAAAGACCCCCGAAGGGAGACCC